GGAGTATGCAGAAATTTAGAGCTTGCAGCTGCCAGTTTGTTCACCTTCTCACCTTCCAGTTCATGTCTTCCCCCTTGGTTACAGAGCTCTGATGGCTTTACCTTCCCTCTGGCCCTGTACTCAGCCAGGGAAAGGTTTCTCCAAAAAGGATCAAGTGTGATTAACCTAAACCAATCATAATGATTGTATCTGATTTCCAGGGTTTCCTTTAAACATGTGTTTGTGAAATAATTTTAGTCAAAGAGACACTAAGAAAAGTCCGCTTAGTTTCTGGAAAGTTTCCCCCTGCTCTTAAAGTGAAATGTGAAAGAAGGAACAACACATTGTGCTTCTGGATGCCATCTGTCTATAGGTGATTGGTGCAGTAGCCACCGTGGGGAATCATGAAGGAGCCAATTTAAGAGGAAAACCAATATACTTCAAGAAGCAGAATGGAAATAGGGATTTTTAAAAACTATTGGACCAACCAATCCTAGTAGTGTGTTTCAGTTCTTTTTATTTTTATAAATGTTGTTATTTTAGCACTCTTTAGCATACCAGCAAGGTTCAACACAATGAAAAGCTTTTAATAGTTGAGTGTTTACAAAAAAAATCATGTATTGAATAAATGTTCTAAAAAAAATACACATTCATTATCATTAGCCAACCATTCTTTCTTTCTCTGCCATTCAACCATTCTGGCCACAGAATAGAAGACTTTTGGATCTAGTGCTGATAAAGTGGAAGCAATCGGTAATCATACTTGAGGGACTAATAGGTTGCTTGAGCAGATCTCTACTATTTCTATTCCAAGGAGAACTGTAGACCTAGAGTCATATTGAGACACTCATCCTTGGTGGATGAGTTGGTAGTTATAAAACTCATTGCATGATGAGAGCCCAGACCTTATAGTATATCAGGGATGAATGAGTTTGGACTGGTTCCCCTCTCCCAAGGCTATTCCATTAGCACAGACTTTCTTAATGTTATAATTGATATTTTGAGTCAGATATCAATATCTTTGTTGTGTGGGGTCTATTCTCTACATTTAGCTGAATCCTTGGCTTCTAGCCACTGTTGCCAGTAGTACTCCCCAGTTGTAATAATCAAAAACGTCTCCAGAAATTGCCAAATATCCCCTGGAAGGCAAAATTACCCTTGTTCAGAACCACTGTGTAAGAGGTAGAAGATTGTTTTTCATGAAGCATTTTGTCTCAAGAGTTGAGCCGAAGAGAAGGGTGGGAGGTTCTGAATACCAATGCCTTAGTTACTCCATTAGATTGTGAGAAACATGTATGAGTGTTTACAAATTGTTCCTTTTATCAAGGAAACTATTGATTGTGATATATTTGAGCTGAAATAGAGCTGCTACTTAAATTTCCCCCCCCTTCAAAAAATCATCAAAATCAATAAAACAACATTAGAAAAACATTATTTTTAAACCTTATCCCCAAAGGTTAAATTATCAATTTAACAAATAGCCCCTAAGATAATAGTGTTAAACTGTCTTAGTCTTTACTTTGTCACTTTTAACCAATCAGCCAGGAATTCACACCCCATTTAAACTTAGGAAAAGTCCACCCATATTGACAGCTCAGATTTGAACTGACTCATACCTAAATAAAATTGTAGGAATGGGGTAATTTTACCAATTCACATTTTATTTTTAAGAGCATATATTAACTAAAATATTATGAACCAGGGAGTACAATAAATGCTTTTGTCAAAATGACAAAATCTCCCAAAGTACCTATGTTTTCAAAACATTGGAGTCTGTTTTGCACATGAGCAAATAGGGCCTTTCTTTTCCTTTTGTATCCCTGAGAGCTTTTCAGCATGCCTGGTACAAAGATTTCCTCTAGGTATTAGATAAACACTTCAGCAACCTTTGGCAATTTATTGACTCTCTGAAACAGACTTTAGGTAAGAAATTAAAATAAAACAAATATTTCAAAAGGCATTTAAGTTATCTCCTAGGTTTAGAACCCTACAATGTGTTTTTCTTTACTAGGGGATAAAGTCCTCAGTTTAACATTTATGACTCTAAGCTCTTAGCCATTGCCTTTCTTTCCTTACCTCTCTTCTCTTGCCATGTTCCTTCCTGTCATGGGGTTTTAAAGCTACCTGAAATCTTCTTTCCCACTCGTTGCATTGGTAAATCCAATTCATCTTGCAAGTCTCATTTTCAAGAACTATGCTCTGATCCCTAATCTAAGTTTGGCCCTCTTTCCATGTATTCTTTCTCTTGATACTCTATCCTTTGCATTTAGAGCCCTTCCCATACTTTGCAGTTATATATGTGTATGTTGCTTAGTTTCAGTTCTGTCCTCAGTAGATAATAAAGGCCACAAGGGTATGATCATGTCTGTTTTCTTATCCAATATATTCTCTATTCGGAGTATTTACCTAGCACATACTCAGAAACTGCTTCAGTAAATAAAGATGAATTGGCAAGATGGGATTGTATCAGGCAAATAATGTACATTTGTACCCCATCCCCCTTGTGTTGAATCTTTAGGCCTGGTGCGGGCTTTTTATGTTGGCGATGGAAATTATTTTCTCCTACTTCCCACAGAATGGCAGGTCAAGTGGCATGCAGACCATATATGAGAAATGGTGCCTGGTTAGGCATGTGTGCTAATACATGAATGATATCTATTTTTGCCTTACAGAAAGAAAAATAATACAAAGTAATTAGGTACTTTTTCATTCTACTCATACATAGGAAAAACTCAAGGTGTTTTTTTTTATAAAAAGAAAAAACCAAATAGCTCTTATCTATTTATTGCTTTCTAGTTTACTCACATTGGTGTGTGTGTGTGTGTGTGTGTGTGTGTGTGTGTGTGTGCGCGCGTGCGTGTATCTAGGATCTATATGTGTATATATATCTTGACTCATTGCTTAGCAGCTTTCTGGCCAATAGGAGTTGAGTATGCAGTGCTCTAATATAAACCCCTGGATTGGCTAACTGTCTCTGATGTCATAATTACCCCATTAAGAAGTCATAATTTTCTTGAAATCACATTGTACTAATAACACCTCTTGTTATGTTGTTACATTATAAGAAAGATAATCTACCAGAAATAAAAATGCTGGAAGGAGCAAGATATCTCTGTTCCTCACAGACCTTTTCCATTTTTGTGCTTTAGTAATCTGCCAACACTTGAAGCTAGCTTCTTTACTTTCTTTTACAACTGATGTTATTTTGTTTTCTGCGTTTGTCAGTTAGTAGGCAAATGGAGGAATGAGCCCAGTTAGAATTACTCCTTCAACTCATAGGTCTGTTTCATCTCGACTGTGGAGGCTTAGCATCTTTCTACTACTTAGCCTTCCTGACTCAAAAGGAAAAGCAATATGGACAGCTCATCTGAACATAACATTTCAGGTGGGAAATCAGATTATATCAGAACTAGGAGAGAGTGGAGTGTTTGGGAATCATTCTCCTCTGGAAAGGGTGTCTGGTGTAGTGGTACTTCCTGAAGGATGGAATCAGAATGCTTGTAATCCATTGACCAACTTCAGCAGGCCAGAACAGGCAGACTCTTGGCTGGCCCTCATTGAACGGGGAGGCTGTACTTTTACACATAAAATCAACGTGGCAGCAGAAAAGGGAGCAAATGGGGTGATCATCTATAACTATCCAGGTACGGGCAACAAAGTGTTTCCTATGTCTCACCAGGGAACAGAAAACATAGTTGCAGTGATGATAGGCAACCTAAAAGGCATGGAACTTTTGCACTTGATTCAGAAAGGAGTCTATGTGACCATCATCATTGAAGTGGGGAGAATGCACATGCCATGGCTAAGCCACTATGTCATGTCTCTGTTTACCTTCCTGGCAGCCACAGTTGCCTACCTTTTCTTGTACTGTGCCTGGAGACCTAGAGCACCCAATTCTTCCACCATAAGACGAAGACAGATAAAGGCTGATGTGAAGAAAGCTATTGGTCAGCTTCAACTTCGAGTGCTCAAAGAAGGGGATAAGGAGCTAGATCCAAATGAGGACAACTGCGTTGTTTGTTTTGACATATACAAACCTCAAGATGTAGTACGTATTTTAACTTGCAAGCATTTTTTCCATAAGACATGCATTGACCCCTGGCTTTTAGCCCATAGGACATGCCCCATGTGCAAATGTGACATTCTGAAAACTTAGAAACCTAGAGCCTCTTCTGAAGATATAGCCAGATCTTTTCAAACATTATGATTAGATGGATTCTCTTACTGCACTTTATTTATAGAGAAAATTTCAACTTCATCTTCTCTTCTCAAATACTAAAGAGGGTGAAATTCATGTGTTTTAAAAATAAAACTCCATATCATGCCCACCTATTTGAACTGTTGTCTTTCTAATCAGTTCTAATTGGTATACATTTTTGTCCTTATCCAGATAAGGACATTAGTATATGTTGAAAACAATATTAACCTTTATTTTCAAATTACTGTGACTTTGGAGCAATGGAGAATTAGCTCTACCATTTTGTAGTTTCCCTTTTTAAAGTTAATTTTTTTGTGTGTTTTGTTTCTATATTTTGTTTCATTTTGGTCTGTAATAATTTATAATCTCTGCTTAGTAAACTACAATAGAGGATTAGATCTTGCTTTAATTTGCCATGGTTAATTAAGTTTATTAATACTTAGGAAATGTGGTTTCCAAAGCTACTGACTGTGTGGGTAATATATTCAAAATGATTATTTTAGATGATAGTACTTAGGGTTATGTAACTAAAAGTTTTAAATTGTTACAAGCCCCATTTAGTGAAGCATTGCAAAAATTCACCTCTGTTTGCTGGAGCTCTTTGAATCCTAGCATAGTCAATCATCTATGGTAGTAGATTGCCTTATGAAAGTATCTCTTGTGGGTGCTTGTTCTTCTCTCAATGGTAGTAAATCTCCCTCTGAGTATTTTGTTCACAGAGAAAAGCCAAAAATTTTGTTCCGTTGCCTTTCCATAATGTATCTTTTGCCTCATTTTGCCTCTTCCTCTTTTCTAATCACGTGAGCATCTATGCGATGGTGTGAAGTTGGAAGATTGGGTTTTGTTTTCGTGAAAATCTGTTTGGATCACGTGCTAAACCTTTGATGTCTGACTTAGATGACGTTTTGTGAGTCTACACAAGATTTGGACACGGCCCTGTGCCACACTTTTATTTTTTATTTTTTTAAGGGATTTGTGTGGAAACTAAATCAGATTAATGGCCTCAGAGAAAGTGAACCTCTGTGAACTGAAGATTTCCCATCAGTGTTATTTCCTATTCATGCCACCTTTTGTCAGGCCCATAGAGCCCTTTGTTCTTCTTTCCTGCCTCAAGTTACCATGTTGTCGACTCATATTTCACAAGAAGCTATAACACTTTCAGTCCTGGTGAAGCCTGACTATCTAGAGACCAGAAACATTTATCTTCAAGGTAAAAATCCTCGGGTCTGGTTTCCTAGCTGCTGAAAAAGAACCACCAAGGTACACCACTCCCAAAAATGTGTGTTGGAAGGAACTTGGCTGCTGGAGTTTGTCAATTTTCATGTCATTGCTTAGTTTTAAAGTCATATTGTGTCCACTGATATGCGAACGGCAAAAAGGTAGGCAGAACTGACAGTGGATGTGGGGTCTTCCACCAGAGAGATTTGTTGAGTTTGACCAAACGTTGTGTTAAAATCATCTATTTACAACTTTTAAGGATTGCTGCTTTCAGTAGCTAAATGAGGACCTTGAAGTTTTTCTTTTTAAAACCAATAGCTACATTTAAGAAATGAATTGTGCTAAACTAATATAGTTATACGTAAGCTTTTTACTTACATCCTTTCTCCTCATCCCCTAAAATAGGGTTAGATTAGTAACAGGGTCTACAAAGAAATGAACTTGCCTAGATATTAGCCTTTTCTGTGTTTACTCCTGTAATTTATACATATAGTTGATGTGTGAGAAAGTGAGGCAGAAGTGGATTGAGCAGGATACCCTACTTTTAAAAATCAAAAAAGGACGAAACTGACAAACTTCTGAGAAAGCTTGTATTTTGTCAAAGTTAGTACAGTGATTTACATGATTAATAAATAATTAACACTGACCAAATTCACATTTGTAAAGCTAGAGTTGCCAGGCTCACCACTTTCACCTCTCTCTTAGTCACAGTTCTAATCTGTAATTATAATTCATAAAAAAAAACAAAACATGTCACTCTGTTGGACATATTTTCTTCACTTGTGATAAAAAAATTTCAACTGTACAGTATTTCATGTTTTTAAAGAGCATAGGTTGCATTAACTTCATATCTATTTTTTCAGTCCAATTTGCTACCTGTAACCATTATTTGTAGCTCAGTGATTGAATCCATCTTATAACAACATAGAAACCGTCCATAACAACATTGGAAATGTATAAGCCAATAAAGTCACAGAATGCTCTAAGCTCTTATCCAATTGGCTGCTTGGTCTTTTATGTCATAATCACATCATGCAACAGTAAGCAGTATCTAAAGTTACAGTGGTGAGACTGGGATTTTTTTTTTTTCAATCTAAAGTTTTTCTCTTTCTCTCTCTAATAAAACATCTGAAACTCAAGACATCTTTAAGAATTTCTTACAAAACCATGCTGGGAGACGGTGGGTCTTGTTTTCACCCAGAAGATTTTATTTTCTTCCTTGTTTTAAATTGATGGTCAACAGATGTGCAAGCCACATCTTTCTGTTGGGTTGGTTCTTAAGTCGTTAGGCGAAGAGAGAGATGACTCTCCTCAAGATTGGCCCTTGGCACAACAACACTGCATCTTCCTGGCTTGTGAAATTCAGTTTTTTTTGGCTGTTTAGTCAGAACTGCTGCGGAGCAAGTGCAGTGTGGACCGCTTTTATGAACATATCATTTCATGTTGGGAATCGCGTGTTGTCAGAGTTGGGGGAGACTGGAGTATTTGGAAGAAGTTCCGCTTTGAAGAGAGTGACAGGAGTTATAGTGCCACCAGAGGGAAAAACTCAAAATGCATGCAATCCCAATACCAGTTTTAGCAGATCACAGAACTCGGAGCCGTGGCTGGCACTCATTGAACGGGGCGGTTGTACCTTCACACAGAAAATTAAGGTGGCAACTGAGAAGGGAGCCAGTGGAGTGATCATCTATAACTTTCCGGGAACTGGCAATCAGGTTTTCCCCATGTCTCATCAGGCATTTGAAGACACCATTGTAGTGATGATTGGTAACTTAAAAGGCACAGAAATTTTGCATTTAATTCAGAAGGGATTTCATGTTACAGCCATGGTTGCGGTGGGGAGAAAACACATCATCTGGATGAATCACTACTTTGTCTCCTTTATGATCGTCACAACCGCGACTTTAGCATATTTCATCTTTTATCACATAAGAAGACTTTGGGTAGCAAGGATTCAGCACAGGAGATGGCAGCGATTAACAACAGACCTCAAGAAAGCTTTTGGCCAACTCCAACTTAGGGTATTAAAAGAGGGGGATGAGGAATTAAATCCAAATGGAGATAGCTGTGTAGTTTGTTTTGAACCCTATAAGCCTAATGATACGATTCGTATTCTGACTTGTAAACACTTTTTCCACAAGAATTGCATTGACCCCTGGATTCTAGCCCATGGCACGTGCCCCATGTGCAAATGTGACATTCTTAAAGCTTTGGGAATTCATGTGGATATTGAAGATGGAACAGAATCTTTGCAAGTTCTAATGTCAAACGAAATACCAGAAACCCTATCACCTAGGGACGAGGAGACAAATCATGAGCCTCCTCCTGCAAGAACATCAGAAAAAGTGACCCATGTGGAGGAGTACCCTGCTTCTCCAAATAATGCCAGCCAGCCTAATTTAGTACTAGAAACTGTACATCCCTCGCCTTGACAGCATGACCTTTGAGGAAGTGGATTAAACCTGTTTGTCAAATCAGGTGCTAATACTGACAAGCAGTTTGTCTGTTTGAAGTGTGGTTTTTGTGTCCTTTTCTATTACTTGGGTAATTTTCTACAATCTTTGTCAAGCCTCACAGGAAGGAAAAAAAAAGCTTACCAGGATTTTTAGGTTTAATTTTTGACCTTGGCTAAATGTAACTTATTCCTATGAGTGTACATATATATATATTTCTATGTGTACATGAATGTTAAAAATCAAGGGCAATTTTTTTTCTTTGAAATTTTTTTGTATATATTCTTGACTTTATTTTGGTAAGAAAATTATTAATATAGTTATATATTCCCACAGGAATCATCAATTAAGTTTGGAAAACAAGCTTTATGTTCTAGGAAAAGTAAAAATTATCTTTGCAAAATACTTATAGTACAGTATATTACTTTTGATGTGCTGGGCTTTTACATTTTTGGCACAGAAATTTTCCTGTAAAAAAATTTATTACTTGATCAACAGTTTTGTTCAAGTAATTCGATTTTATGTAATCTGCATAGTAAGGCAATTTTTAAAATAAAATACTAGTACTTTTTAACTGAACAACAAATATTCCAGTACCTGGTATTACTAGCCATAATTGTTACATGACCTCAATGCATAGAAAGAGTGAAAAGATATAGAATTCATATGTTCCTTAATCTTGTCTTCCCTGTGTTCCACTGATTCACCCCCTCCTCAACTTTTTTTTTTTTGCCATTAAATGTTTTTAAAATGCCATATTATTTTGGAGATAAGTTGCACAATGTAGACATGCTTATTTTGACATCTTGGGATCATATTAGTTTTGTTCACTGTATTCCCAAGATCTATCACTGTGGTTGGCACTCAAATATTTTTTAATTATTGAGTGAAAAAAATGAATAAGGATAAATATTTTTCATAATGTATCATGTGTTAATCTGTTAAACTGGGCAATTTATCCCAATAAGACAGCATAATGGAAAATTAATGCCTAAAATTTTCATCAAAAATCACCATGACAAAATATTATAATAGTACAGAATTCATTATCACAGTTTAGCATGATTTGCATAGCAGGTCAGCATAATTTTAATGAGAAGCTTTGAAGTCTCTCAGGCTAACACTGGGGACTGAATTATTGGACAGTTTGAGAGATCTAGTGAAGAGGAATTTTGTGGATCACTTCATGTTAATAATCCTGGACTTCAGAGACAGGCAAAAGGGAAGTAGTTGGTTTCAACTGCAGCCCCAAGGGAGACCATGTAAAAGGATGGTGAAGCATGTATCTAAGGCCATCAAGAGTCAGAACTTAGTGAGACCTGGACAGATGATGAGGTGGGGTTGATGTCTTGCTTGGTACACAGAATTTTTATACCCACCCTGGAAAGATTTTACCTGTTAATCTCAAGAGCTACTCTTTGAGAGAACTATATAGCATTAAGGCTCCTGATGATATAGCCGGACCACTTTTTTGAGTGCCATTTTGAATTAATTCTTCCTTGAATGGCCAAGTCCACATTGAAGAGAGAAGACCCTGAGGGCCCTATGAGAGCCACCTCTGGGAGGATCAGCTCCTAAACCAGGATAAGTGTCATTTTTAGACTGACCACCATAGGTGTGTCTGCCACTAGAGGCAAGTAATTGATAGAGGTGGCTCCAGTGATTTCCTCTGGTTGCCCCAGAGATTTATGGGAGCTGTGGAAAAAAATGTGCATGCAGTCTCCAAACCTAGAGTTCTAGGATTGTCATAGCCACTAGCAAGTTTGTGTGGGGTATTTATTCTGTGATAACTTAGCACCTGAGGAATTTGTTTTTTCCCCTCTGAGTGCCATTGTGTTCTCTTTCCATTCTTCCTCAGCACCCCTATGATTTCTCCTTTCCTCTGTATCACTGTCAAACGTAAACTCAACTTACCCCCTTGGGTAAGAATTTACCACATATTCACTTCTTCATAAGATGCCTGTTAATGTCAACACTGAATGTTTAACACAGTTTGCTTGTCTTGATCTGAGAAGTTTCAGTGAATGTTAATTAAAGGGAACCTAGTGGAGGTGGGAAAGGGACGGTCAAGTCAGTGAATTTGGGAACTGTATTCCTGAGAACCTCCCATATACCAAGTGGTGGACTATAGGCTCTTTGTAGCTGTTTCTTATATGTCAGAACAAAACAGCAGTTTTAATCCTTGTCTTCAGAATGTTGTAAACAGATCAATAAACTACTTTTTGCTCTGGGTTTAATAATCAGGACCTGGAAATAGCTCTGCCATGTCAAATGTTAGATATTACTCATTGTGGTAGATTTTTACCTATTCTGAGGGTGTGTCATTTTCTCTTATACCTAGTGATACAAATATAATTTGCTGTAATGACATGGGACTGTAATATGAATTATTTTGCCGCCAATACCAGTGTCATAATATGAGTTTTCCTGGTACTTTCTCCTTAGTGCTATGTAGTTTTTGCAATCTCTGGAAATGAAAGGTTGATGCTTTGTCTCCTGATCAGTAGGGGGTTGATGTTCCTTATAAAAATTAAGCTTTCATTTTCATCATCACTAGACTAAATTGGGTTTAATTTTTTATTAAAGAAATTGTCTAGGGGACTTTATGTGACCAAGTGATGCTGTGGATGAAATTATGTATTTTGCCTATTGATTACTTATTATTATATGACACAGCAGTGATAATGTCCTCGTTTCTTGCTTCAGAGTTGGTATAATGTAATTTTCCTGTGGAAAAAAATATCGATCAAGTATTACTTGCATTACTATGAGCCCTTCAAATGATTTCTATGAGCCAAGGATCTGGCTCTCTGCTGGGATTTAGGCTTAGTGTATGTATAAAATGGTCTCTCCTCCTGACTTAGTGGGTTTTGAAACAGCAGACAGGAATCAAGTGGGAGGAAAATGAGAGTTTGAGAAAATGTTGAAGCCAAAAGGGTAAGTCTCCACCTGTGGATACCATGAGTCAGGTCACTTTAATGATACTTCTGTCTTCCCATAGTACACTTTGCCATAACCATCTGTTGTTGCATTTTAAAAATGAGCGAGTTTATTTGGTTTTGTATTTACTGAATTTTCCTGTAATGTTTTTGGTGATGAAAAAATTAAAGATTATAGGTTACAACATTTACCAGCACATGAATTATCTTAAAATCCATCCCCAGTTTTCTATAAAGTAAGAACATTAATAGGGGAAGGGGGAAGGTGGTAATATAGAGGTGATCTGACCCCCTCACAAGTGACAGCATTTTCCCCCAAAATGTGTCCACCCAATCCTCATCTTTTCATAGCTACATCCCAGCTTATCATACAT